GCGCATAAATGCAACCTTTAAAACAAGTAGGAACTTTCTGGCATATTTCACATCTTGAGGTTTTATGGGCCAGTTTGCCCCTGTAAAGGAACTTTTAATGCTTCAGTAGCAATCAGTTAGGGGAAGTGATTTTCGTAGTAGTCTTTAATATAAAGATCAGTTGAAAACGATGATTGATTTGTGTTGAGGTAAGAATTGAATCTCCAAATGTCACAAGTATTTTCAGTTTGAGTCTAAACTGATTCCCACACTTATACAAAATGTAGATGTTTATTTGCATTGGTCTTGAGAAATATGTTTAGAATGTAAAAGATATGAGTGTCTCTTTTCATATTTAAGGTCTTTGAGAAGAATTGTCTCAGTTTCTTTATAACATAGGGATATATGCATTTACTTCACAGCTTTCTTTTTATGAAACATGCACAAATCTTATAGAAGACTTGAGTTTATAGAAGTTTATAGAGGACTTGAAATTTCAAAAAATTTTCAAAGTGATAGGCTCAAGTAATTGGAACCCAGGCACTCCCCCCAAGAGCCCAAAACACACATATTAACATCACACCAGTAGCCCACTTTGTAACTTTATTTATTTATTTATTTATTTATTTATTTATTGGCAGAACTGGGGATTGAACTTGCCAGGGAAGCGCTTATTCCACTGAGCCATCTCCCCAGACCTGTAACATTTAGTCTCTCCCCCCACTCTCCTAACTTCTACTTTCAAAAGCATAGGTTGTGCTTACCTTGCTTTTGAACTTTGGAAATGAAAATTATACATTCATCTAATTTCATTTGAAATTCTTTTGTGGAGCATTCTCTGTGTGTTCCGTGTACTATTAGTCTTTTGTTTCTATGTTATAGTCACAATTTTAGAATCAATTCAGATATTAAAGGACATAGACTTTCCAGTTTGGGAATAACACAAGCACTTCTATGAATGTTCCTGGGCATGGCATTCATTGAAAATATTTGTTGGTTAAAATACATAACTTGGGGAGAAGCATCATAAGGAACCTACTTGGTGAGTTTAATAGATATTGCCAAGTACTTTCCCAAAGCATTTGTACCAGTTTATAATCCAGTGTACCAGCAATGCATGAGCACTTGTTTTCTTATACTCTTACAATGCTTGCTGTCGACATGTTCATTTTATCTATCCTAGTTATAAGTAGTTGTATGATTTTGTGTTTGACTGATGACTAAGCCACTTGTCATGTTTCCCTGCCACTCGGATGTGCTGTTCTGTGATGTGCAAATTCAATGATATTTTAGCAAAAAGTTCATCTGCGTCATTTGACTTTTCATTATAGAAGTCATTTCTGTATTCTTATGTTCAGAAAACTATATATTTTATTTGTAGCTTTTTGTTTTTCTCTTAGTGATGTTTGCTATTAAAAGGTTCATCTTAATATTTTATAATGCATTGTGAATTTTCCTTCATGATTATTATTTTGCTTCCAGTTTACAAAATCTTTGCTTATCATGCAGGTATACAGATATTCTCTTATTTCCTTTTGAAATCGTCTTCCACTTTTGGCTCTGCTGTTCATATTGGATTTGTATGTGTCTGTAGTATAAGGAATTCAGTGATATTTTTTGATCCATGTGAATACTAAACCCAATGCCATTTTACAAAATAAGCTTTTCCCTGTATGCTGCAACTGTGTTGCCTTTGATACAAATCAGGTGAAAGGTTAGAAGGTATGTGAAACCTCTGCTGCCTGCACTGCTTCTGTAGTCCTTGATCTGTCTGTGATCTGTTTGTACACTTCAGTACCAATACCACATTCCCTTCCTTACAAAGGCTTTATAACACACCTTACATCTGCCAGTAGTACCATCTGCATTAGTGCTTCTGCTATTTTTGGACTTTTACATTCCATGCAATAGAATTATCTGATCAATTCTTGTGCAAAATTCCAATATTTTTCATCAGGATTACAATCAATCCACTGACACATTCATTTTAAATTTTATGAATGCATTAATTAGTTTTTATGATTGCAGTTTAGAGGCTTGTATACCTTTCATAATCGGAAGTCTATGTTGGTAAGATAGATTCTTTTTTGACTGTGTTGGGTTTTGAAATGAGCACTACTTTGGCCTCACAGTATGCACAGGAAAGTATTCCCATTTTTGATAATTTCTAGGAGAATTTGTATAAGACTAGTTCTAGCCCCCTTGAGTTACTGGAGGTATTCCAAAAATTTTGATTGTTATTATTAGGTAGGCTATCACGTGTAAAGCACTTAGACAGTAGAATTTGATAAGTGCTATAAAATATTAACACTTTTTATGTCCTGGGACATCCATTATCACCACACAAATCACTACATTAGGATGCCAAGAATGAACAGCAGGCTTTATTCAGAGTGGTAACATGCTTTAAGCAATTCCTTTAGAAGTCACCTTCAGAATTTCAGCTTTTATTCAATTATCAATCGACTACTGAACGTTTTCAGAAGATATTTTATTCTGTTGCCATAAAATTATTATTACATTAAAGTAAGTGAGCCTGGACAGCACAAGTTTAAATAATTAATGTGGCTAACTTCAGCTCAAACCCAGGAAGAATTCTTTGAAGATAGCAGGGGAACACTGACTTGGTGACACATGCGATTCCTTTTAACTCCCAGATTCTTTCCACAGAACTTTTTTCATTCCTTCACTGTATTCTCCATTTTTCATGGAAGACTTTTCAGGAGTTACCTCCCTTTAAAGGATCCATTTTTCTACCTTCAAAAAAATATGGTTCGTGTTCCTATCACTACTGAAATGACTCCTCAGAGTCCCCAAAACCATATCACTCTGTCCTCAACTTTTGGGCTCTCTATTGAATTCGGTGCATTAAACACACCTTTATTCTTGAAACATAGTTCAACACAGCATTCTAAGACAACCTGTGCTTTCTGCTTTTTTGTTTGTTTGTTTCTTCCCATTTACTATTTCTTTTGTGTTGTTCTTGACCAACTAACTTATTTTTGCCTATGTGGCTTTGAGTGGTGAGTTCAAAGTTTATTTTCTTGAAGTGTGTACCTTCACTTTTCAGTGCTGTCACTTAAGTATATTTCCACAACTACAGTATACTTTTTGCATCCCATACTCACGTTTTTTCCTCTTTAATATTACTATTTGGAGACCTCTTGGGTCCTTCAAATTTAACCCTATTTAAATTTGCTCCACCAGTTAACTCCAAGACAACTTCTCAGAAGCAGAAGGCAATGCCATCTTTCTAGACTTGGAGATTTTTTTGGGGGGAGGGATTGTGGGGATATGGGAAATACTATTATTTAAACTCCAAGGGCCAGGGATATAGCTCAGTAGCACACTGGCTGCATGACAAGTACAAGGATGAGTTCAATTCCTTATTAAAAAATAAACTCCAGGATATCATTAATTGATTAGAAATATTAGTTTTTATTCTGCCCACTGTAGCCAGAATAATCTCTTTCTTGAACTGGAATCTTTTCATTGCTTCAAAGCATCTACTTAATGTCAGCTCATACCAAAAGAAGGCAGGTTATTATATTCAGGGATATCATCAGTGTTCAATATGCTTGTAAAGTGATAAGTTACAACTAAATAAAACAGAATCAAAAATTTGTTTTGTGGACAAGAGAGGGAATAGGAGAAAGTGATTTATCTATGTATGCAAACAAGATGGTCTGGACAACTGTACTCTGCATTTCTGCTGGTCTGTGGAAAGAAGCAGTTAATGCTTTAATTTGTTTCATCTCCTTTTTTCAATTGCTTCTCCTTTTTGTTGTCTTAACTTTTTGTACATTTTTTTTCTGTCTTCTATACACACATATATATGTGGTAACACGAATAACTGATTGGAAGACGCTACCTATTAAATAACGTGAAAGTCATATAACTACGTTAAGAGAAAATCTGTATCACTTGTAAGTTGTTTTAATTCTAATTTCTATTCCCTCTAAAACTTAAAAAAAAATGTTTGCCCCCTACATATGAATATCATTTCTTTTCACATATAGGAAAGAACTCCTCCAATTATGAGACATTACTTAATGTAAATTTATCGATTGGCATAGTCAGAGATCACATATAATATATCCCCCAAATCAGCATTTTACTTAATACAAAGAATCTCTTCATGTCAGATCACACTAACTTATCTTCCTCAGCACCCTTCCTAGTAGCAGCACAGAAGAAAAGCCATCCATGCACTGGTCTATTAGACATGTGACTCCTGAGTATCTGTGACAGCTGGGAAATGTTCAATAGAGAAGAAGAGAAATCAAGGACTCTGCACATGAGTTATGGCAGCATATGACAAATATGGCAGAGAATTTTTTCTGTGGGTTAATGTATCTTTCTGAACTCATTTGTTGGAAACATATTTGAAATCTTAAGCCATTCGGAATTCTATGACAAGACCTTGAGTTGGCTGGTACCATGTCACACAGACAGAATAATCCCTTTGTTCAACAGATCCAAATGGTATATGCTGCCATTGAAATACTCTAGGAGCTATCTTAGTTATCACCATGCCTGTCATGGTATTACAGTAGTTGTACAGCAGTAAGTTCTTCCTTTTCTAATACTGACCCAACGCAAAAGCACAGTGATGGTGGGAGTTATAATATGCCAATTCATGAAGTGCTATCTTGAATTGGAAATTGTTCCCAATAAGAAAATTCCTATGCTGAGACTGCTAAAATCTGGGGTAAGAATAAGTCTTCAATATGTGAAATTGAGAGACATTTAAAAAAAATAAATCCATGCTATTTTTGCTATTGCACCTCAAACTGCAAAAGTTAAGGTCATCGTACTTGATAAATGCTGAGTTAGGATGTGAAAGGCTTTAAATTACAAAATGTAGTGCTCTCCAAGATTTCAGGTATCCCCTGGGGGGGTCTTAAGACAGTATGCCCTGAGGATGGGAGGGGACTTTGCACTTGCATAATCTCAACATCTCACTCACAACTAGCATTAATTTTTAACATGCAGTGTCTATTTAATCAGCTAATCAATTAACTGTCTTCCACATACAGCCTATTAGAGGCTGATCCGGCCTTGCCCTTGCACCCAGCTGGTGTTTGCACCCTAGACACCATGCTATGAATTCCAGTTGGACTACAGAAGAAAGAAATCTAATGATGCCTTCCGTAGGGAAAATTTCATCTTACAATTCTACAGCAAAGAAGAAACAATAAAGTATCAGTTCCACTTTTAAGTAAATAAGGGGTTATTTGGCTCCTGAAGTTTTCATTCAAATGACAGATCAGATCTCTCACATGTCTGCTTAAAAATGTCTGCTTTAGGTCGTTACAAAATGACAGACTATGATAAACAGGATGATAGTTGGTAGCACGACAATGAGGTATTGTTTACACAGAAGATTGAGTAACTGGTATAACAAAAGGGGTTCTTGGGCATCTATTGTGTGTACAGCGATGAGATTTACTGGAGCTTTTATCGTTTCTGCAAAGCTCCTTTCCAGCCAGCTTCATTAACCTGAAGTAAATCAAATCATGCAGAAATCTGGCTAAGCCAGAAAGAAACCCAAGAAGATACAACACAAAGAAAAACAGACACAAGATGATAAGGTTTAGAATCTTTGGCATTTTTCATAAACATTTTGTTTGACGATAATGAAATTACAACCCAGAGACAAAAAAAAATAGTAAACTATTAAATTAGGTTTTTCCGTTAACTTTTCTTTACAATACATATACATATATAAAACTGCACATACAAAGTATGTGTTAATAAAATATAGCCTGTAAAACTTAAATATTATTTTAAAAGAAAGATATTATCATAAATTTTATATAGGTATAAATCAAACTTTTTACTTGATGGAAGAGTACTGCAGAATTATAGGGTGTACAGGTGTCTGGTCTTTAAGAATTTGGTCCTAAAACAGTTTTCTACAGGATATAGCTAATTCTTGACCTGAAGATAAATAAAATATAAAGTTAGATGGCCAGAGTGCTTTAACTTTCAGCTCAAAACATTTAGACAAATGAAATGATTATGATACTTAGGCAAGTAGCCCATGTATTAGTTTCTAGCTTAATATACTTTTAACTACTCGAAGGCATTCATTCTTCCCAACCAGCTTTCTGAAGCCATATACTGAGGTTTTGTTTTGGAAATAAACAGAGTAGGCCAAAAGAAAAAGTATTTTAAAGCAACTGAAAACTTTCGTGAGCCCTCACTCTTTCCAAGAGGGTCTTGGGACACCCATTGCCAGCAATGGGCTGTGGTGGCGCCTCAGCCAGCACCAGAACATCACGCAAAATTCGCATGCATATCTTTTGTGATAGCAGTTGAAGGCCTTCTAAAGATCTGGGTTGATTCTGGCAACCATTAAAGACTTGCTATAATATATATTATCCAGACAGACCAGAGTCACCAAAGAGCTGTTTACTCTGAAGAAGCTTACTGGAGCAAAAATCTGAGAAGAGAGTGTGGGTGGAGAATGGAAGTGACTGCCTCTTCATTAGAATCTGTAGGAGGTGTGAAAACAAGTTCGGAGTCACTCTTGAGTCCACGTGGTCTCCTGGTGGATCTCTTGGAGGACATTCAGCCACTTCCCATGGAAGCCTTGCTTCATTTCCTATTTGTGGTTGGATTTGAGTCTTCCACAGTCTAGGGGTTGGATCTGTCGGCTGGGCTGAGACTCTAACGCAACTAGAATCCTGTGTAGGGCTGCATGAGCAGGTGCTCGTGTGTTTGCATCAGAAGAAGAGAACGCCCTGGGTACCACTGAAGCCGCTATGACATTGGTCTGATCAACCGCACGACACAGAGTGCCGGGTTGGAAGTCAGTGTGGCCCTAGCGTCGTGCGCTTCTTCCGCAGGGGGCTGTGGCTGCTGCACAGTTTCAGTTCTGAGTACTGCACCTGTGAAAACAAACAGCCATGACGCTGGCGGCTGGGTAACCCTAGCTCACCACCGAGTGTGTTAATGGCTCCCCAAGGACAAACCAAGGCAAAGGAAGGAAGGTTCAAAAGTAATGAATCATTTTCCAAACACAGGAACATGGAGGGATTAATTGCAGGAAGGATTTGAGAAGTCATGCATCATTTCTTGAAACAAAAATATTAAAAGCAGATTTTTCTAATGAGAGGCATAGGTTTCTACCTGCTCCCAGCACTGCCAGCTGATCTTAGTTCTGTGTGTGCCAGCGCTCCACCAAATGAAGCTTAATCAATGCCTCTTGGGAATGTTTACCTTGGTATATAATACAGCAACTTACTGAGAAGTATTCATTAAAAATATCTAAAATCTTAGGGAATAATATCAGTCAATTAGGGACATTTATTTTGCCCGGGAGATAACAAAATGCTGTAACCGATACTGGGCCCCAGACTTAGATAGATTTTTCTTAAAAATTAATTTCATTTACAATGTAATGACTAAAACATCTGTGATAAATACGAGCTCTCAGGGAGTCCCTGGTGGTACACTGCCATTGTGTTACTACTAGCAAGCGCCCTTGGCAGACGTGAGGATCTTACTAGCAAAACGCGCATCTCCCCCAAAGGGTCTTGCGCTGAGTTTCTCTGTATTCATGCCAATTCTGACTGGATGACCAGCCTGAGGGCTGGTGGTGAGACTGTGCAGACCATCCTGGGGGGGCGGTGTCTGATGGAAATTTCTATTCTTCAAGGATGCAGCATGAACCCACACCACGACCCAAGTGATGGCACGCTGCAAGCACACTGCTTTGGGGTGTGAGCCCCGATAGGCTGGCAGTGGAAGGCCTCCACGAAGCTGTTATATGACAGACCACCTGTGTTCACTATGTTTAACATTTTGTCCTGCTCCCCACGGATATTCTGTCCAATCACAAGTTAGTCTGCATTTTGCCAAAAGCAGATAAATGAAGAGAGAGAAACAGACAGACAGACAGACAAAAAAAAAAAAAAAAGATTCTTTCCTTGTAGTGTTTTATGAAGGTCCCCTGGGGGAACACAGGACAAAATACTTGCCACACCCCAATTCGTCAGGGGAGGCCAGGTTATATTTTAATTATACAACGCAAATATTAAGGAGTAAGCTCTTTATGGAATGTATTGTAACTCTTAATTATATTATAAAATGAAGGGGCAAGGGAATTAGTATCCTAATAGCCATTTTAATCTCCAGAACGTGGAATGAAGGGAACAGGAAGTCTAAGACCTTGGAGTCCCATGTCTTTGCAAGTTGGCTAGAGAGACCCGGGAACCAATTATGTGATAGTGGCCCAATGATAAAAATCAATATTTAGTTTGGGATGCTCTAAGGTAAGAACGGATTATGCCTTTGATCATCTTGATGATATTTCGTACCACGGTCTCACCGTCTACCTATTCAGTAATCACCGCTCTCTATCAGAGAAATCCCCCCCCCCGCCCTCCTCCCTCTGGATTTATAGCAGGCTAATCTGCAGGGGCCCAAATGGGGCTATTCTTCAGGACTCTCTGGTATTGCTGGCTTCATTAATCTCTGTGGACTCACAGAAACAAGACGCTGCTGGCCTAAGTGACCATTACCTGTGAATAATACTTGTGACTGATCTCCAATTATTTCACGCCATCTCTTCCTCTGTGTGGGATTAGAGTAAGTGGGGGATTTGGCCTCGGCATCCCTAAGTCTTTAGAGGAAAGGGAATAGAAAGGAGGCCCAGGAGGTAATTGGGGCAAACAAGAATAAACAGAATAAGCCTCTTGTCTCCCCACTTCCTCTAAACTGCCTGCCATCCGGAAGAGGAGGAAAATAAGCACCACTCCTCAGCCTTCGATCTCAAGCAGTTCCACTCACTGGGCCCATCTTATCCTCTTTAGGAAAGAGAGCAATAAAAAAGGACAAACACCAGCACACTGGAGCTGCACAGTGTGAGTTCCAGATCATTCCTAAGTAGTTCTTTTTCAGGATAATTTTCCCCAATCATCTCATGCTTGGGACAAAGGTTTCTGCCTCCTCCCTGCAAGCCAGGCCTCTTTAGGGATTTTCTGATTCCTTATCTCAATTACTCACACAAACACGGCCTTGTGTTCCTCCAGCTCCAGGGCTGGCCAGACCTCAAGGCTGGGGGCCCCTGTTGGTGGTGACCATTCATTACCTACCTTTTGAACATCTGACGGTACCCTGGAGAGAAAGTCTAGTAGCTCATTATTGTCGATGGAATAGGGATTTCGGAGCTTCTTAGTAAATTTATTGATGCCTGAAAAATTGAAACACCAGAGATCTCTTTATATCCATCCATCTACCTATCTAAAAACTTGCCTGACTTGGGGAGGGTGAGTTTTCACAAGTAAAAATTAGTGTGAAAACAATTACTAGGCTTCAAGTCATGCACATGTTGCTGTCATGTGGAATCATTCACAAATGTCTCTTCCTGCAGGAAGGGGGGTGAGCTGCGGAAGAGGGGCACTGCCTTCTTCAGCTGTGAAAATCCCATTACAATCCCAGCAGCAGGGCAGCAGAACACATGCTCAAACTGGGGAGATCATTGGGGTTTTTTTGGAATACACTGATTAACAGCCGCCTCTGCTATGACAACAAATGTCCCAAATGGGAAAAGGCCTTCATTAGACCAAACAAGTCCCTGCTTGGAGGATTTCAACCCAGTGTGGCTGTGGGAGGTGGGGGGAGAACTTCTGCTGTTAGAAACTGCAGAGATCTCTCCCCCTACCTCCAACTCATTTTCGCAAGATCCTCATCTCTCCCTGCAGAACAGAACTTGACATGTTGATTTTGCTTTGATGCTTCAGGAAACTGTGAAAAGTTATTATTGGGAAATTATATATGGACCACAACATTGGCATGTGGGTTTGTCTGGGCAATGGAGTGCATGCTAATTTAAGACAAGGACAGCGGTAATTAGAATAGGGCTCAACATTTGAGGTGTCAATACACTATAGAGATCCATCTGTGGTGGCTACTTGCTGGGTTCCTGGGTTGGCCCAGAACATACTTGTCCTGGTGAGCCTTCAGAGGGGAGTTCCTCCCAAACACCTTTTGTCTTCTCTGCTCCTCAGAGACACCATGCCTGCATCTAGAGCTCATAAGCTGTAGTTTTTCACCAAATGCCAACCCTTCTTTCATGTTGAGTTTTAGAAGCAGAAAGAGTAGGTGGCCCTCTGAAGTTGTGCCACAGGGTGCTTCTTTAACAAGGATCCTGTCTGAAGGCCCTGCCAGTCCCAATGATGGTGAATGGATTTTTAGCTTAGTTGTGCTCTGAATGGCTCCTACTCAGAAGCCAAGTTCAACAGTCCCCAACACATAAAAGGTTTGATGTTTTTCTTTGTTCATTAAATATCACTTTGCTTTCATCTAAGGACTGGACTTCCTGCATGGCATTATACCTGACACAATGCCAACCTCCGGTCCTTTCTTTGGGGGGTCAGATTTACATCTGCTTTGCAAATGGGAGGCAGGCATTGTGCATGAGTAAATGGGGCCTTGGCGGTTGGGCTGAAGAAGGGTCCCAGCAAATGATCCCCTTTCCCTTAGTCAAAGCTGCACTCTGCCTTTCTTCCCTTTACCCCCACAGCAAGCTCCATGCCTCTCACTAAAATTCCCCCCAGCATTCCTTTAAACTAAAACACTCTTACTGTGTTATTCTAAAGACATTTAATTGTAGCATGGGCTTTTTGGCAAAAGAAAACAGACACAGCAAAATGATGAAGGGAGACAAAGACATACTGAGAAAAGATATATCTTCTATTGTTAATTATATATAGTGTTCGCATCTGGAGCCTTTACAATGAACAGCAAGGCAGGGATAATATCAGAGCCGATCAAAACACTGCATTCTTAGTCACTGAGAAGATTATAAACCTGCACAGTAGCTCAAATGCGCCAATAAAGGCAGAAGGAGTCCACAATGCACTGAGACTGTCTATGTTTGAAAAAGTTAAAAAGTACTAAGCATTCATGGTGGCATGCTTCAAAAGCACACCTTATTTTTAAAGATATATCAGTCTTGAATCTTTCGATAATTCCATTTTACTATCTATTGTGAGATCAAGGGTCAACCGAAGATCATAGATGCCGTGATCATCTTTGACGGTCAACGGAGTATTGCAACAAAGGTTATGGTGTAGGGCTACCTGGGCTCCAATGCCAGCTTCATAATGTATTGCCTGGGTGATGTCAGGCAAAGTGATTTACCCTCTAATAACTCAATTTCTCACAATGAAATTTTAATAATAAAGGCCTGGCCTGCTGGGTTCATAGGAGAATCACCATAATAACATAGGCAAAAAGGTTCTATGATCCCACTATACAGCAGAGACATAGGAACATTGTTGCTGTGAAAGTCAGTCACTAAGAAAGAAAAAGGAGCTGGCGAGAAGGGCTTTGTAGTATTACACACGTGATCACCTGCCCAAATGTGGAAGTTGTAGTGTTTTTCCAGTAGAAAGCTACACAGTTTTGTGACTGAACAATAAAGCTAGAGGGGCACATCTGCAGCACATTTCATTAGCTAGATACTATTTGGGGAAGATACTTTCGTTAAATGGTTCCAAGCCACAGAGTGGGTCAGAGCAGTGGAATGAGCCTTCTAATTAAAAAAAAAAAAAAATCATTCAGAAAAAGTCAAAAGAAAAAGGAAGCTGCATGGTAGTGTTACGCATTTGGTAATGTGAGAATAACTACTTGAACAAAGTAGCACTATTTTTAAAATATTTTTAAAAATATATTCTTAATAAAGATGCTTCCTGTGCAACACTATGGGAAGTCTGAAGCAGACAAGCACTTGCTTGGTGATTTGTCCAACTTTGAAGACCTTCCATGGAAGAGATGCAATGTTATCAAGGGGAGACACAAAGTTAAACAAGTCCTGGTTCCTTCTTGCAAAATTCTCCACATTTAGCCTGGTGGCCAAATAGCTCAGTGGATTAAAGTGCCTGCAAGCAGGTGCAGGGGCCAGCGGTTTGATCCTTGAGCCTGCCATGACAGGCCTACCCCTGGGGTGCACTGAGACAGCAATTGAGACTGGGTATGGTGGCACATGCCTGTAATCCATCTTTTGGGAGGCTGTAAACAGGCAGATCAGTACAAGCCTGATCTAGTAGTGAGACCCTGAACACCCTGTAGACCCTTCCCTAAAATACAAAAAGAAAAAAAAAGAAAACATTTAGCTTGGGAAATTCATATAGATCTTGCAAAATGTGTTGAAGGTGGAACCAGAATTGAGAAATTGTAGGATGAAGAACAGAATAGGAGAAATATGGGGAAATTCTCAATTGGACTAGAACACACGCATCAGATCTTATTCTACGAAATGCTCACATCAAAACAGGTGACTGAATTCCAGCTCATAATGCACCCAGAAGAAAACTTCAGATATCCCTCCCACCCAAGAGAAGTAGCAATCCAATAAAATTTCATCTATATAGATCTTGGATATTGAACTTAAATCCTCACTCATAAGAGTTTTGAACCACTAATTAAAGATGTCTTTATGATGCTCTGTAGGAATTATGGGAGGAAATAAAGTATCTCACCCATGAAAGCCTTACAATGAACTGGGTGAGTCTAAGAATATTTCCCAAAGCCCTTATAAAATTAGACACTTGTGCTTATATCACATAATTTTAATACTTAAAACACATACTGAAATACTATTTGAATGTATAGAATATATGGAAATCTAGTACATACAGTCAAATGTTTTCAATTCCTTTAGAGAACATTTTAAATGGCTTTGATTTTTCCTTTGTAGGACTCAATAAAATTGAGTAACAGAATAAGAAATTCATTTGAAACTTAAATTTAAGGAGGCACTCTAGAAGTTTAACATATAAATTGATATTTTATATGAGGAAATAGCTGCAAAAGGTATAAACACATGGAGAAGAATGGACTAGACCTGAATTAACTAGAAAGTGTTGTAAGAGTGAGTCATGATGGAGCTGTGGAGTATTTTGCTGGCTTGCTGAACCGGTTGTGCATGATAAGATGTGGCAATGGATCACATGTTGATTGTCAAGGTATTGAGGACATTATCTCCAGTAAACTAAACAATGAACCATAGACACCTGTCTCGAATGCAGAGCTAGTGTCAAGAGTCACTACCTGCCCACAAGAGCATGGTAAACTCTATGCTGCTAAATAACTTCATCCATAAACTGAAGAAAGAGAGACATGCTGCAGGAAGTAGATGCCAACAGTTGTGAGGAAGCTGCCTGTATCTTAGAGGGGAAAATCAGTGATTTGGGCAAACAAGAAAGGTTTTGCATTCCCAAATTAGCAATCAAAAAAGGAAAAATGGTACAACAGGCTTTCTATGTCTGTAGCTGCCACATCCTCAGATTTTACCAACCAAAGATATCTGAAAAATATTGTTGCACACACAGGCATTTTTCTTGTCATTAATTCAGAAACAATACAGTATAAGAGCTAATTACGCTGTATTTCCCTCATAGTATTATAAGTAATCATGGCATGATTTAAAATACAGGGGTAGTTATAGATAGCCATTGTACAAATACTGTGCCATGGTTTGAAACTTGAGCCCCCTCAGGGGTCCTGGACCCAATCTCTAAGGAAACTAAGAGACAGCTGCCTGAGCCTTCCTTGTGGTGGGAAGGATATAATAAACAAACCATGTGCGCACTAGGCATCAACAGCTGACCACAGCTCATCCTCTTAATGATTCTGCATGAACCTAGAAATGAACAAAGCATAGGCCAAAAGACTTTGGTTCATATCCGCTTAGGGGCAGACAGCAAATTTAATATGTAAGTTCTAAATGTGATCCATAATTGGATTTGGAAATGCTTTTATAAAATAATTTTTAAAAAAAAATCAGATTATCCAATCAGCACAGAAAATATGCAGTATATAAAGTATTCAGGGAAATACTTTTGCAAGCTCCACCTTCTCCATCAAGGAGCCCTCACGTGGGTCATGCTCTGTGCTAAGCTCTTCCTAGGCCAGGCTTTTTCCAATGCTTTGCTGCAAACTAAACCACACAAACAGTTCTAAGCGTGACTATGAGACTTTAACCAAATACTAAATCATATCCCCAAGGAGGAGGTTAAACTACGGTATTTATTTTTCTTTTCCTAGATTGGCAACAAACATTTTGATATTTTTTCTTCCTAAATATCCCACAGAATAATTGGATTATATTCTCAAAATCTTCTAGTTTTTTGTCTTTCTATGAGCCATTCTAGCTTCCCCCTGCTCTTCCCTGGCTTGCACATTCATCTTTGGCTTTCCTTCTCCATAGAGCTCTAGCTTTCCAGTTTCTCTTACTGATTCTGGAAAAAGAAAAAAGGTTGTGGAGGCTGTCTCAAGCATTTATTGCCTCTCTGCTACACATTCAAGATGTGTGCAGTGCAGTCTCTCATCCTTGTGAGTTCCCTGAACTGCTTGTAGAGCCTTAAAGCTAGGGTGGGGAGAGAGAATTTAGCAGTGCCCAGAGAAAGGCTGCCCACTTATCCAATGAAATCTCTGCAGTCACTCTCCTTACATCAGCCCAGAGCACCCCCAGAGACAGACACCCAGATTCACAACGCTGTTTATGCTTTGTCCAAGTCCTAGTGGAAGTAGTAAATCAAGCCATTAAATTTATTTCAACTTTGCCATGTTTGCTTGTCTTTTTTTTTAATGGCAGCTAAACTTTAGAGGAGTGCCTCATTCCTCCTGGTGAAGAACAGCCTCTTCTCTTTTTTGGCATTGAGTAGAGAATCACAGGCTGTCCCCACTCCTCTTGCACCCTCCCTACTGCTTCTGGATTTAAAAATGAGATTAGGTTACATTTTCCTGAAGGAAAGATGAAGTGTCAGGAACAATCTAGCTGTGGCCAGATCTTTTACCTTTTATAAAGGGCAAGATGCAGGTGTTTCACTCACTGTTTGAGCTACAGCGTTTCCAGAAAATTACTGGTCCATGGCCATATATTATTTAAGGGAATTTATAGCTGGAAAGGTCCAGAGGGAAATGGCATGCACAATTACATTTTTTATTTGATCACAATTAAGCAAGAGACCTATAAATATCTCCTCCGATCATTCAAGGAACTGGCCATTTCAGGGAGGTCCTGTAAGTTTCTGTTCCCAAAATACTTTCCTTAATCTCATGTTTAATTGCCAGCAAGAGCATGTTTAAAATTTATAGTCACACTTTAAAAATGAGTAATTGGTTCTTACCTGGAACTGATGGCCAGTCAAAGGGCCATGTCAAACTTACCCCAGAGTAAAATGATGTACCGCAGTGGAATCAAGTACAGAATGATGGTAGCCACTGCCAGAATGAGACAGGCCAGCAAAGAAAGGAAGGGAACTGTCCAGTTAAAGGTGCTGTGGACAAAGACCAAAGTGTCATTTCCCCTGGGACACAGTGACCTCCATAGTGTCGTCACCACCTCTAGGGTATTCCAGGGTCACGGTTATATTAATAAAAAAAATCTGCTAAAAAGTTTTCTTTAAACACCTAGAGATAATGCACATTGTATTTATGCATTGAAACAACAGACTATCAGTGGTAAATATGCCCATATCATTGTGTGCCAATTAAAAATAAAATTGAGGAGAAAATTCCACTATCTTGATTGGGATGCTATACTTGAAAAACCAGAACAGGGAGTCAGCCACAAGAAAGTGCTTGGATTTGTTGTCTGTGTTCGCTTGTGTGAACCTAGAGACCAGAGTGTGGGACATGGAACCGGATGCTCCGCAAAGCCCAGTGTAGCTCTAAGATTCCAGGGTCCTACTGGGAATTTCTGGATGCTGGAGCACTTCCTAACTGGTCTCCATCTTCCTCTCCATCCTTTGCTCTATACTGTGAATATAAAAGAATTTTTAGTTTTCTTTGGGGAGAGGGACATTGGGTAATTCAGGGGAAGTAACATGTTACAATGTCAGACATTTAATATATGGGACATGGCGGAGTTTTTCATATATTTACATTGGAATGCTCTTACTAATTCTGCCAACTGAACAATCTCCCATTCTGGATGACAAAAATGAGGCTGAGAGAGATCTCACCCATGAAAATCCTTAAAATTCTATGAACAGTATAGAACTCCAGTTACCTCCACAAAAGACTGAGAACCATGAGCATTTGTGTGTATTAAGTGTCTCACTTCTTTGAGTAATGAGAAAATTGGAACAGCCTTAAATACCCTTGGTAGTTACTTTAGCTGGAAATTAAGGAGAAGTTCTTTTCTTGTCCAGAAGTCTTAAGTGTTTAGGACAGTGCTTAAGAAAATTGATTTGGAAGTCATCTGACTTGGGTTCTAGTCCAGGATCTACTGCTAGTAAGCCGAGTGACTTTGGAAAGTGGACTCACTCAACCTGAGATATAATTTCCTGTCTGCAGAACAGGCATAAGAAGGCATGGATCACAAATTTTGATGGAATTAAACAGGAACTTGCCTTTTGGTAGTTAGCACATGGCACATTGTAAGCTGTACCCTCCCCCACAGAAAAGGAAAGCAATTAATGACTATCTGTGAATTTTCCCTGGTGCTATTTTTTTTTATTTTATTGAGAAACAAATAGCAATGAGACAGTTTCAAAACAGTTTACTAGGACAGTTATAATAATTAATACATTGCATATTGTTGTCTTCATAGTAGTTATTCATAGTACAAGATGCAGACATGGTATCCTGTCCAAACACTATTAGAAGAAATATTTCTTCTCATTGAATTAAGAGAAAGTATCTGTTTATCTATCCTAACTATTTTGTATACACAGATACAAAATAGTCCTACATTTATATTATCTTTTTTGTTTAGTTTTGTCAGAGAAGTGTGTTCCATTGTCATTTAAATATTGTAGGTGCATGAATTCAGCAAAATAATCCAACATAGTCCAGTAGTCCATAATAGTAGTGGGTTATCCATAGGACTGGCAATGTCAGAAGTTGTTGACTTGAGCCTTTTACAGCTCAGCATATTAATATGGCTTTCCTTTTTATA